TACAGTAGAAGAACCCTTTTTGGTGCTATATAGAACATTTTCAAAAAAGTTCTATATAGAACTATCTACAGCACATTCTCCATCAACACTCAAAGAATGCTTTGCATGCATAAATGGTTCTTTGCATCATGAAAGGTTTCTTCAGATTGATGGAGAACAAGCTGTGGATGGTCCTATGTAGAACCTTTTGGAAAAGGGTTCTATATAGCACCAAAAAGTGTTCTTCTATCATTATGATGTCAAGCTTGTTACAGTTTTTGGTGCTATATAGAACCCTTTTCCAAAAGGTTCTACATAGAACCATCCACAGCATGTTCTCCATCAGTCTGGAGAACCCTTTTATGATGCAAAGAATCATTTTCTACTAAAGAACCCATGAAGAACCATTTTTTCTAAGTGTGTAAGGCTTGTTATTCAGTAACTACAGGGACTTCAGTGCAAACTGGCTGAGCTATTCTTGGGTTATAGACGTGTGTAATAAGACTCTGGGCTGGCCGCTGTTTCCTGGACATTTAAAAGGTCAACTGTAATTGAACAAAGCTTGGAATGATGTGAGTGAAAGCCTGTCTCTCTTAAAGTGTCTGAATCTGTGTTTACTGACTTTTTCTGGAAATAGAAAGGGGATGAGGTCAGACTGGGTCATATACACAGCGCTCCTTGTATTTTTATAGCCTGCTCAGAGTTCTGGAGAAGCTTTCTGGCAGCATTTAGATTGCCTAAGTTAGCCAAAGGGTTTGCCACATTTGGAAACCTGATTAAGTCTATTGCTGGACTAAAGCTTCGCTGGACAGTCCTTGAAATGACCTTTGTTTTCACATATCACACTGAAATACGGATTTCCTTAGGCGTAAACTGCGAAACTTCACAGGGTCATGTTAACAGGGACGTATTAGAAAGTTTGTTAGTTTTTTGCTGTAATAATATGGTAATAAAATGGTAATAATATGGTAGTACGTTGTATATGCTTTTTTTAGGTGTTACTGAATAATAAGTTAGTAATTGAAACAGTAACATGTTGGTAAAAATGGTCAAAGATTCTATGCTAATCTTCTAGTTGTTAATAAATAATAAGTTCAGTTGAGATAAAGAAAAAATAAACATGTATAAAGATACATTTTGTTTGATGTGTTTTTTTTTCCATCACTGAACTAATTCTGGTTTCAGCTTACTAAGAAACTAAGCAGGATCAGGTTAATTACTTTTACAGCACTAATAGCACATAATTCGCTGAACTACTGCACTGTTTTTGTAGTAATAACCCTAATATTATAAAACTATAAGTATGGAAAAGAATTGGGGTGATATGCTGATTAAGCAGATATTATGCTGTAAGAGCTGATGTCTTTTAAAAATAAATAACTGACTAAATAAATAAAGGTTACTATTTTTTTCCATTTTATTACTAACTAGTTGCCACTTATTATTACCAACTTATTATTTATTAAGAACTAGTAAAACTAGAAAAATATCCTGGAATTTTTTAGTGTTGCTTGTTACCATTATTTTTGTTTTTTATGTACTTGTTACCCCTTACAAATACTAACTTATTACATATTATCATCTAAAAAATTATAATGTAAATTTTGATTTAACTTTTGAATTTTTTTCATTTTATTACTAACTAGTTAACAGTTATAATTAACAACTTATTATTTATTAACAACTAGAAAAATATCGTGTAATTTTTTGGTGTAACTTGTTACAATTATTTTTCCAGTTTTACTATGTACTTTTTAACCCTTACAATTACTAAATTATCATCTAGAAAATTTTAATTTCATTTCATTTTCATTTATTAAATTACTTTTTGGTTTATTTTATTGCTAACTAGTTACCACTTATTATTACCCACTTATTATTAACATCTAGAAAAATTAGAAAAATATCCTGTAATTTTTTAGTAACTTGTTACCCTTATTTTTCTGTTTTATTACATACTTGTTAACCTTACAGTTACTAATTAGTTATGTATTGTCATCTAGAAAATTATAAAGTATATTTTAACATCATTTTCATTTTTTAACTTTTTAAATGTTTTTGTTTTACTACTTTATTACCACTTATTATTGTCAACTTACTATTTATTCACAACTAGAAAAACGTCCTTTAATTTTTTTTAGTGTAACGTCTTGCCATTTATTTTCTATTTTATTACCAACTTATTACCACAACAATTACTAACTTATTTTAGCTCATACAAGTCAGCATGTCATTTACAAGTTAGTACAATTGGTTATCATAATATTACTATATTATTACCCACTTATTACCAATCTGTAAAGTAAACTGCTACCAAAAGTTCTAAGCTGTGAAACTAACTAAGGATACATGATCAGAATCGGACCAGAATGGGCCAATTTATTACTTTTATAATCTTCTGTTCTGCAGTTGTTTGACGTGAGTGACGTGAGCCATTTTTCATATATGAATTTAGAACGTATGGAAGCAAAGAATGTTGTTTATATTGTGGCCAACAGAAAGTGCTAGAAATGTGCTAGTGTGTTTTATGTGAGCGTGTGTGAGCTTTACAATAAATAAAATGATAAAAATGAAAAATAAAAATAATCTTTCTGTAAAGAAATCAGAATAAAAATTCATGGTAACATTTTGTTTTAAGGTTTCCGAGCAAGCAATGTCTAAATGTCCTAGTAAATTGAAACATATAATTTGTAAACAAGCTTGGAAATGCAATGTAAATATATTTATATAATGCTTTAATAAAAGCTTCTCTATTAGTCATTAATTATTAACTTTTTTTTAATTAATAAACTGTAATTTTTTAGTTGCAAGCAAGAAGTATGAACAGGTAATAGTGATCTGAATTCACAAAGACCGAACTTTGTATACTCTTAAATAAAAGATGCTTCTTCAAGGGTTCTTTAGTAAAGAAAGTGGCTCTTAATAGAACCATGAACACTCAAAGAACCCTTGGCATGATTAAAAGGTTCTTTTCCTGGTGAAATAGTTCTTCGGATTGACGGAGAATGTGTTGTAGATGGTTCTATTTAGAACCTTTATGAGAAGGGTTCTATATAGCACCAAAACAGGTTCTTCTATTGTAATGACGTTAAGCTTATAACAATAGAAGAACCTTTTTGTGTTATATACTGTAGAACCCTTTTCAAAAACTATACAGAACCATCCACAGCACATTCTCCATCAATCTGAAGAACGATTTTATGACAAAAAGAACCTTTTAATCATGCCAAGTGTTCTTTGAGTGTTCATGGTTCTATATAGAACCATTTTCTTTACTATTTACAAGCTTGACATTGTAACAATAGTAGAACCTTTTGGGTGCTATATAGAAGACTTTTCAAGAAGGGTTCTACATAGCACCCAAAAGGATTCTTATACAGCACATTCTTAAGAACCCTTTAAACATGCAAAGGATTCTTTAAGTGTTCATGGTTCTTTATAGAATGATTTTGTTTACTAATGAATCCTAGAAGAACCATGATTTTAAATGTGTATCACCCTTTTCCAAAAGGTTCTGTACAGAACCATTTACAGGACAATCTCCATCAATCTGAGGAACTATTTCACCATACAGAGAACCCTTTAATTATGTGCTCATGGTCCTATATTTTCTTTACTAAAGAACCCTTGAAGAAACATTTTATTAATAGCGTATAAAAAGACAAACGGGCGTATTCTATAAACTGTGGACACTGAAATGCTGTAATTTTACGGAAAATCATAATTTACAGTAACTGTCTTAAATTAGTGTTTCATTAAATTTTAGCTAATAAAATTAACCACCATCAAAATTCTAAGATTTTCAGCTCACAGACACTCCAGACAATTTCTGAAAAGGTATCTGAGGTGACAAAATCTGTCTAAGCAAAAAAATTACAAAATTTTGCAGGTGCTGAGTAAATTTTTCAAAAATTAGGCAAATTCTGTTGGCATTTACATGTGAAATAATGGCATATTTGAGTAGCCCAAGGTCTCCTGTAAAGGAGCCTGTGTGGCTATCTCATGAACATACTTTATAATTGTAATTGTAATTGACCAAAAATACCAAAAAAACTACGTAAAATTAGGGTTCTAAATGATGTGGTTCTATCTACTAGGACATTATTAACTGCTTGATAACTATCGCTAATGCCAACACCGGCCATCCTGTGATGAGTTGGCTTTGGCCGATCTTGGGAAACCTCAAATTTTGTCCATGCTGGTTAAACGACATGCAAATAAAAGGTCATTTCAGCAAACCATCAATGTGAACGGCATCTCTAAACTCCATCAACTGGACCAGATAAAGAAGACAAAATGAGTCAGATTGTAACAACTGACCTGGTTCTCTAAATGAAGCCCCCAAAAATAGATCCGAAATGAAGCTGCACTGACAGCGGTGCCCAGGATTGAACCAGCTATTTATTTAGCCTTTATTTTACCAAGTAAGTCTCTCATGATCCAAGAGATGGAATATCCATAATAAATAAATAACAGGTCGATTTGGTCAGTCTTAACCAGTCCTCTTCACAAGACATGGATCTAATATCTCTCAATAAAAACACCCTGCTGAACCATTAATTCCTGGTGGTGACCAATAGTCACTAATGGTGTTCTGTGTTTGTCCTGATGGGTTGATATCACAGTGTAAAGGACTCTTAGGCTGGGCGTTCACTACACGACTTTGTCGTGAGGCACTCACATTAGACAACAAGGCAAAGAGAGATGATAACACACATAACGAGTTTGGGCTACGAACAAGAACTCAAACTCCCAGATCTCCTCAGATCACATGACACAAATAAAGCTCAACAAACTGGACCTGTTTGGGCTTTTATGTGCAGCAAAAGCTCAAACTGGGGATTAATATGTGGTGAGAAACATTGATATAACAGTGAAAGCTGGAGAAATATTTCTCTACAAACTGGCAGCTGAGCTGAAATTGTAAAGAGAGTGACCTGACGACTGGTCAACATTATAAATCGATATCGGCTCTCATCTGCCTGTGTTTTACTCTCCGCTCCTCTGTCTCTGCTCTGCTGTTCATACTCGTCTCTTCGCCTGTTTATCCTCTTCCAGTTCTCTGATTGGCTGCTGTTTGAATCATCTCTGACCTTCCCTTACAAAAAAGTACTTTATTCAAGTGTGGGTAGCACAGCAAGAAGGGCCTGGGTTCGATTCCCCGGCCAGGTGACCGGCTCCTTTCTGTGTGGATTTTGAACGTTCTCTCTGGGTCTGTTTGGGTTTCCTTCCAAGGACATGCAGTCAGGCCAGTATGTATAGTTTTACTTGTAGTATACTTCAAAGTACACCTTTGTAAAATGAAACGTGGGCCAATTTAGTCCCAAGAAGTACTGAAATAGTAGTAAAAGTACACTACTAGTTCATTGATATTAGTATACTTACTACATAAAGTATATTTGGGAAATATACTTGAACTTTACTTAAGTTTACTTGAACTTTAAGTATACTTTTTTTTGTAAGGGTTCTCACACTACAGGACTCGTGAACGTTTTGAGTCGTAAATATCAGACATGTTTGATAATATGGTACTCCAGAGTTTGATCGGAGGGCTAAAGAGTCACTCATTGCTCCTCTCACACTACAGATCATCCACAACATCAGTCGCTTCCAACTGAGCTCCCGACCTGGAGAGTCGCTTCAGATTGTGAAAATTTGACGCAAAGGGCAAATCGGGCCTAAAATAGTGTACGCCCAGCCTAATGGTTTAACAGGTGTTCTGATTCCAGACGCATTTGATGGTTTCCTAACAGGATCTGAAGTCCTCCAACTAGTGGCCTCTAACTGTATCCCTTAAGCCAGGGGTGTCCAATCTTATCCACAAAGGGTCGGTGTGGCTGCAGGTTTTCCCTTATAACAAGCTGGAGCTCACCTGATTCTACTTGCTAATCAGTTGGTTTCAGTCTTCAAACTGCTGATCATGTGACCTCCAGCTTTCTTGGAATGAAAACCTGCAGCCACACTGGCCATTTTGTGGATAAGAATGGACACCCCTGCCTTAAGCCAATTCCCATTAGAAAGCATAACCGTCAAGTTCCCAATGGTTCTAGTGGTCCTTTTCAGCAGGGCAGTGATCTAGGACCAGCTCTTTTGCTCCATGTAACTGTATTCGTTAGGCTGTAAAAAGCCAAACCTGAAACACTCTCTTTAGGTTTATCCACTTGGAGATGGAGGAGCTTGAATTGTATGCAGCTGTAGAAAGAAAAGGTCACTTTCGGGGCAGAGTTAGGCCCAGTCCACAACAGCACGAAGTCTAGACGGGAATATTTATGTTTCTGGAAAAAAAAAGAAGTTGGAATGTTTTGAAATTTGACATGTTTCCTTTTGGGGAAAGAGCTAGCATGTTAACAGCTATCTGGTTTTGGCTGCTGGATTTCATTATGTCCTTAAAATAGGCAGTAAAAAAAGCTGCGTTTCAGGACGGGAGTCAACATCGACGCCAAAATCTGATGAACGGCTTCTGCTGTCAGCCTGATCATCTGTTTTCTCTCAACATTAAGAGTTAGCAGCATGAGTATTTGCACTGGGGTTAGCTTAATCAGGTTTTAGCATGAAGTAGTCCGTTATAAGTCAAGTTTGAGACGGTATGTTGTGTTCTATTACTTTGTATTTACTGGGGTCAGATTGAGTTTCTAAGCTTTGTTGTGCTACCACGTTAGCATCACTTTTTACAACTGAACTGTCCTTTGCTAACGTTTGCACATTAACAAGTTTTTGTGGCTGTATATTTGTGTTACTTTTTGAATTTATGCTGTGAACAGCAGCCGTTCTGGTTTGCAAGTTGTGTTTCAAGGCACTTTGTCTTGTAGTTGTACGTCTGGCAGCAGCCAAATTTTTAGTGGCAGCCATTTTGGCTCGATTTTGAAGTTTAACCATGAGATCAGGGAACTGTTTAGTGTACAAAGCAGTGGTGTATTGAAGCTCAGGCGTGATGAGCCTCTGACAGAGATGATGCGTTTCTTTGTCCAGGCCTGGGCGAATGTTATATCCCTGGATAACCGCTGTACCATACTGAAATGGCTTCAGAGACTCATCCTGGACTTTGCTGGGATCGACAGCACCTCCCCCTAAAAGGCAGGTTTGCTCAAGCTCTGCTCTGCGAGCTCTTAGGAGCTCCACCTCCTCTTGGAGCTTAGCACGTCCCAGCATGGTGTCTATCCTTTGCCAGAAGGTGGCGTTGAAGTGTTGGTACAACCGCCAGTCTAGTGAGCTCCACTGTTTTACAAGCTCGGCCAACTCTGGGCTCAGCTTGTGCCGAGACTTCTCACTGCGGCTGTTCAGCCGAAACGACACAATGTCCTCCAGCGTCCAGCAGAGGGCGTGCTTGAGCAGGATCATCGACTCGTCAAAGTACTCAGAGATGAGGATGAGGTGGAAATTGCTCTCCACTGTGGCAATCAGGGCAGTGCTGCGCTGGTCTAACTCCACCTTGCTTGCCGGAGGTGAGTTGTCCATGCCGAAGTCGAAGGTCAAAAGGTTGCGAGCGTAGTGGTTATTGGGCAGCGAGGCATTGAAGGACCGGCCACCGTCCAGCAAGAATTCTGTGAGAGTCTTGAAATTTTGGAAAGCTGGGATGCTCTTGTAGTACGTGAAGATGGATTCCATCATGGACACTGGATTCCGCAGGATGGAAAAATAAAAGGTGTCCACAGGCATCACCTTTCTCACCTGAGAGAGAGAGAGAGAGAGAGAGAGAGAGAGAGAGAGAGAGAGAGAGAGAGAGAGAGAGACAGTGGAGATATTGAAGGTAGCAACAAAAGTCCAACTCAGGCTATACTGAGAATATTTAAAGTGGATCTGTAAGTTATCAGATAGTTACTTCAGGTCTTCTTCCTGCTATAACTATGCAAGTAATTTTAATATCTTTAATCTCTCACCAATAACTCTTACTCCATGCTACCTTATTACTGAATACCATGCTAAATCCTGTGTTGAAACAAAACAGCACTTATATTCCTCCACAGCAGCCATCTAGGCTGCACAACCAGCTTTTGTAAGACTGCAACACTGCCTCATTTTAAACTTTCACCACTGCATCATGTTTATGGAATTAGATGATTCACTGTTTCAATGATGATTCACAAAAATTTGTAGCATGTGGTTAACAAATTTTTGTGCTGACCTCAAGGCCTCGGAATCGCATGTGGTTGCACATGATGTGGAACTCTGTCACCCTGCCGGATCTTGAACCCTCCACAAAGTATGACATGAAGAAGTGTGGGTAGTACAGCTGGCTATACATGTTCACCGGGAGGGCAAAGGTCAAGTTCCGGGAGTCGCCATAGCGATAGAGTATGTTGAGAATGGTGCTGCTGGCGGTTTTGTGGGTCTTGAGGAAGACGATGTGGTTCTTGGGTCGGCACATGCCACCTTCATCATGGCTAAATACAATCACAGCTTGTTTGTCAGAGTCTGCGTGGATGGCGTACGGGCTGGATTGCTGTGGTTTGTGAAGTTCTTTTGAGGGAACCTCAGGCGGCATGCTTTCAGAGTTTTGCCTCTGGGCTGGTGATTGCTTGACCACTTCTAGGTTTTCCCCTGGTTCTTTTGGGGGAACCTCAGGCAACTTTCTCGGCATGTTTTCAGAGTTTTGGTCCTGGGCTGCTGATTGCTTGATCTCTTCTAGGTTCACCCCTGGTTCATCTCTTGAGGGAACCGTAGGTGATGTGTTTTCAAAGTTTTGCCTCTGTATTGGCGATTGCTTGACCACTTCCAGGTGTACCCCAGGTTTGTCTTCTGAAGGAACTTCAGGTGGCATTTTGGGTACATTTTCAGATTTTTCGTTCTGGGCTGGTGATCGCTTGACAATTTCTGGGTACTCCCAGGGTTCATCCTTGGGATCTTTTGGTGGAGATGCTTTGCTTGCTAGCTGATATCCATTTGACACTAAGATCCTACTGATTGTGCTGGCGAGACGTCTGGCTGGTGTAGTATCGAGATTCTTGCCATCACTCCACTGGAAAAGCTGATAGTATCTCTGGTGTGGGTCAAGGGTTGCAGGGATAGATCGGAGTATTCCTTCATCTTGCCGATCAGCGATGGCTGACTGCTCATCAGCTGGTCCAATTACTTTTGTATCCCTGGGAGAACAGGAGACAGGACAAATATGAGGAGACTGGCTTTACTGTTGTTGGTCAAATGTCAAATGTTTTTGCATGTGTATGCAGTCAAACGTTGCTGTGTATGCAGTCGCAACGTCTCTGAGGCCATGGTAAGCAAATTCAATCACCCTAAATGGTGCTGCAATTTAAACATTTGATGCAAAAATTGCTTCAAATTTTTAACATGTATTTTTTAAGACTTTATAAAACTTTTTCACACGTCTGTGGGAGGCCTGTGGTTCTTTAAACCAGAGCTATTACAGGGAAAGTAACTTGGCTGTGAATAATTTTGGACACTACTGCAAAATGGCAGAAGTCCAAAACTGCACTATAATTTGATTATAATCTTGTATTAACTACACTTATCTAGTTCATCAGACACACCTACCTTGTACCTCCAGTTACTGGCTACTTCATGATCTCCACCTACATTACAGGACCACTTCAGAGGTGTGCAATCATGAACTGTAGCTGCACAATTTATCAGCCCTTTCACTCATTCATCCGGTCAGTTTCTGACTCTGTTATTCAGATATTAATTGGGTGGTGGACCATTCCCATTTTTAGCTAGTGTGTATGGTGCTGGTATAAGGGATTTACACACATCCTAATAGTGCACTATACCATGAAAAGGGCACAGTTTTGGACATAGCCCCAACAGGACACTATATAGTGAATGGGGCACTGTTTTGTAAGTATTTCAAAATGATGCATTGTATAGTAAAATGGTCATAACTTAGGACAGCTCCAAATAGTCAACAGGGCCTCCTACAATTTGATTGGGGATGTCCGGATTTGTTTTTTTGCCCCTGATCCTTTAACATTGAGTGTCAGCCGATACTCCAAAATCTGTTCATTTTAGTCAGTGCATAATGTGACATTGTTTTTTTAGCCTCAATAACCATTTTATTGCATGTTTAACATTGGCTTATGATAAAATCTGATTGACTGATCTTAATGATTTGGCTACCAGTTACTTTAATATGCAGTTCAATCACTTTGTTTGCATTGTGGGATTGTTTGACTGCACTATGTTCACAGACACTACTACATCCCAACATAGTGCTGTAGACAATGAACAAACCTTTGGACACAGCTTAAGTTAACATCAGTTTTACATGAGAAATGGTGCAAAAAAAAGAATCCAGACTTTTTTATATCTATTTTAAGAGTGTTTAAGCACTCGTGTATATAGGAAACTGTTACAGGGAACAGTACTTGTGATGGTAGTACATGAATTCAGACACTACTACAAAATGGCGGAACCCTAAAAAAGTATACTATAGAGTGAATACAGCAGTTTTGGACACAGCACAAGTTTTGTATTTTTTTTTTTTTGGAGTGAACAAGGCGTAGTTTGGGGCACAAACGTACCGTGCTTGTCGGACCACGCCAAGTAACTGCAGTGCCACGCACAGAACGGTCAGCACCGTCAGAACCTGCCACGTTAACCGCAGGTGACTGTAACACACTGTCCTCGCACACCTGTAAAACACACACACAGCATTCAGGATCAGAAACAGTGGCCTCTGTATGTAAAGAAGACGGAGAAAGGAGTGTTGAGTTTGGTAGAAGAGCGACTATTTGAGTGGCCTCAAGTTAAATATGGCTACACATAGTCACGGAAAGTACAGCTTTTCTGACATGTGTTGGTGTGAATACAGTCGGAACGTTTGAACTCATCAGATAAATTACAAGACTGGTGAATTTCTAAATTGAAGTAAGTTAAGACATCCTCTACAGGGAGCACACTTAAATATGGCACTTTTTTCAGTTTTTCAGTTTAGAACGTAATTTGAAAATACCTGTTGCCCTTTTCATTGTGTGCAAATTTCATGATCAACGGACCAAAGGAAACGGCCCAAAATGACTTGGAAAAAATTCTGGTTCCATTGACCTACATTAAAAGTAAAGTAGGTTTTTGCCTTCTTCTGTAAAGTTACTATTTCTGAGATACGAGTCCAAAGAAAAACCAAAGAAAAGTAAAAATCGACAAAAATGGAGATGTATGTTTTTCTTTTGACGGCCGGACAATATATTTATGTATACACATATGGAGGAATATGGAAATGTGGCAGGAATATAAATATATGTGTAAAAATATAAGTGAATTTCGGAAAGTTAACAGTAATTGTGCATTTGTGCATGTTCAGTAGTTTTTATGAAGGAAAGTAACACTGACAATAAATTGAGTCATTTGAAGAGTGGCCGGAAATAGGGGCTGGTAAAAATGGAAAAAATTGTGTATCATGATAATTAAAGACATTTTTATGGTACTAATGATGTCCACTTTGTAATGAAACTTGCAGAGAAATGCAAACTGTTTATGCATTTCATTTCATTTTTGTTGCATTTTTCTACCCATGATTCATCTCATCTTCGATCACCATTTAGATGACAGGCATTCAGAGCTGTATGTATGTTCTCAGTGTATTGCATTCTGTCAGTGTTGCCTTGGTAGTGAGATTTTTCTTGAAAAATGAAAGTAATGTGAATGAATAAATAAGCAGAAGTATGGAAGTTGGTATGTCAATAAATAGAAAGTAAAGCTCAAAATAAAATAATGCACAAATATATGAGAAGCAGATAGAATTTCATTTTCTAATGAAACTTAGTGGCTTTACAGTCACCTCTGCTGTCTCTCTCTCTCTCTCTCTCCCTCTCTCTCTCTGTCAATGATATCCTGTTTAATGGGAAATTGATATGAGCGAGACTCCGCCCTGAGCAATCACTGTGCATGTTGGTGTGCCAGGGAAAAGCTGCCTGTTTAATTATTGATCAGATTTTTTTTTGCCAACATTTTCTCATGAATGCACAGAAAGAAAATTAGAAACTGCTTTTGTTGCTGACTGTGATTACATCAGCCACCCCTGTGACCACATACAGAGAGAGAGAGAGAGAGAGAGAGAGAGAGAGAGAGAGAGTCAGCACGAACCAAGAAGGCCACAGGTCTGCCAGGACTGCAGTTTTTAAGAAATCTGGGTCTGTTTAGCAATCATCAGCACGCACAGTGAGGTTCGAGAGGACATATGAGTATGATGTGCACTGGGCTGGACATCATATGATTCATGGCCGGTCATTCTGGCAACATTTCTGAAATACCACCTGCCTCCATAAGGAACTGAGGTATTTTTATCGTCCTGCCATTTGCTCAAACCTTAAAGTACGATATTTTCCATTAAAAAGCAGTGCATTTTTTTTTGTTACAGCCATTTGAGTGGACAAAATAAGCTTCATTCGAATGTGTTTAAAGGAGAGCGCTACAAACAGAGATTCTCTCAGAGTAAATACAGTGCGCTGCAGCTGGGCTTCAGCCTGCACTACTGCAGTGGGGGTAACATTAACGCACTGTTAACATGTTGACTTGGACTGTCCTGATTGTTCTACTTCTTTCATACTTTAATCACAGCAAAGTTTATTCACAGATTCCTCGACTTACTGACTTAGTGACTCACTGAGTGATTCACTGACTGACTGACTGACTCACCGACTGACTGACTGACTGACTGATTCACTAACCAACTCACTGGCTGACAACCAGATTCACTGACTGACTGACAGACTTCATAACTCACCAACTGACCGACTGACTGATTCACTGACTCACTGACCTAGTAACTCACTGATTGACTGACTAATTCACCTACTAACTAATTCACTAACTTACTGACTGATTGACTGACTGATTCACTAACTGACTGAGTCACTAACTTATTAACTCTCTGTGCGATTATTGATTCACTAACTGACTGACTTACAAACTCACCAACTGACCAACTGACAGATTCACTGACTCACTGACCTAGTAACTCACTGATTGACTGACTGACTGATTCACGAACCAACTCACTGACTGACAGCCTATTCACTAACTGACTGACTCACTGACTGACAGCCAGATTCTCTAACTGACCGACTCAATGACTTACTAACTTACCAACTGACTGACTGACTGATTCACTAACTGATTCACTAACCAACTCACTGACTGACTGCCTATTCACTAACTGACTGACTCACTGACGGACAGCCAGATTCACTAACTGACTGACTAACTCACCAACTGAACGACTGACAGATTCACTGACTCACTGACCTAATAACTCACTGATTAACTGACTGATTCACCTATTAACTGATTCACTAACTTCCTGACTGACTGACTGACTGATTCACTAACTGACTGAGACACTAAATTATTAACTCTGTGCAATTATTGAGTCACTAACTGACTGACGCTCTGACTTACTAACTTACTGGCTGACTTACTGATTCACTAAGTAACTGACTTACTAACTCACTGATTGACTTACTGATTCAGTAGTTCTTGTTCTTCAGTTGACTTACTGACAGACGCACTGACTGACTGACTGATCTACTAACTCACTTACTTACTGAATAACTGAATAAGTGATTCACTGACTTACTAACTCTTTGGCCGACTGACTGGTTCACTAACTAACTGACTGACTTACTAACTCATTGACTGTCTGACCTACTGATTCACTAACAGACTGTCTCACTGACTGACTGATTGACCTACTGATTCACTTACTTACTCATTAACTGACTAACTGACTCACTGACTTACTAACTCATTGACTGACTATCTGGTTCATTAACTAACTGACTGACTTACTGACTCGTTGACCTACTGTTTGAACTACCGATTCACTAACTGACTGACTCACTGACATACTAACTCACTGACTGACTTACTGATTCACTAATTGACTGACTTACTAACAGACTGACTGACTGATAAAATAAGCTAAAATTGTTTTATTATAATTTATTTTTATTCACAGATATTAATTTACTATCAATACTACTATTACTATAACTACCACTACTGCTACCTTTAGTAATAATAATAATAATCAGAAGAAGAAAATGTTTTTACACTATTTGCGAAGCTCTCTGACTCCTGTTGTTCTTGGGTTGTTTTTAGGAATCTGAACATGTTATATTAGTTCATTTGTTAAGTGAATTATTTATCCTGGAAGGACATCCTCACTGTAAAACTCTCATTATGACCATCAGAGGAATGACACAGCGACTTAAAGCTAATAGATAAACGCAAGATAAAGAAGAACAGTTTCCTCTTATTCGCCGTGAGAGGTTGCCAAAGTCTCAGCTTTTTGTGGAATGAAATTAAATGGAATCACGACAGAAAAAAGACCCACTTTTGAGTCTGACTGGAGTTCAAGGCCGTTTCTGTCTGTGATTATGACCATCTGTACAAAATGAAATCCAAAGGAACTTCAGTCTCATTTCCATCGTCGTGTTTTGGAGACATGATTAGAATGTTTCCAGTCACTGTTTGCACAGTTTTCTCCCTCTGGCAAGACTCAGAATGTCTCAAGAGACGTTTCCCCCAGTTCCTCCTCAACACACACACACACACACACACACACACACACTGCATCCCAGCCCTTTACTGTGTAATCCTACAGTCAACAGAGGATAAACTTCTACACTAATTATCCACTGGATCAGCTCCACTGACCATATAGATGGGCTTTGTAGTTCTACAGTTACAGACTGTAGTCCATCTGTTTCTCTGCACCCTGTTCTTCAGTGGTCAGGACCCCCATGGACCCCCACAGAGCAGGTACTATTTGGGTGGTGGATCATTCTCAGCACTGCAGTAACACTGACATGGTGGTGGTGTGTTAGTGTGTGTTGTGCTGGTCTGAGTGGATCAGACACAGCAGTGCTGCTGGAGTTTTTAAACACCTCAGTGTCGCTGCTGGACTGAGAATAGTCCACCAACCAAAAATATCCAGCCAACAGCGTCCTGTGGGCAGTGTCCTGTGACCACTGATGAAGGACTAGAGGATGACCAACACAAACTGTGCAGCAGCAGATGAGCTATCGCCTCTGACTTTACATCTACAAGGAGGACTGACAAGGTAGGAGTGTCTAAAAGAGTGGACCGTGAGTGGACACAGTGTTTAAAAACTCCAGCAGCACTGCTGTGTCTGATCCACTCGTACCAGCACAACACACACTAGCACACCACCACCACGTCAGTGTTACTGCAGTACTGAGAATGATCCACCACCCAAATAATGCCTGCTCTGTAGGGGTCCTGTGGGGGCCATGATGTAGATTTCTGGACCATTATCTTGAGATCACAATTTCATTATCTTGTGATCTCATGATAACAAAAGTTGTTTTATTGACATCACAATGTATTTTTCTTGTGATCTCAAGATAACAAAAATTGTTTTATCAACATCACAACATATTTTCCTTGTAATCTCTTGATAACAAAAGTTATCATCACAATGTATTTTTCTTGTGATCTCATGATAACAAAAGTTGTTTTATCATATCACAATATATTTTTCTTGTGATCTCGTCAAAACAAAAGGTGTTTTCTCGACATCACAAATTATTTATCTTGTGATCTCAAAACAAGTTGTGATCTTAAGAAAAAAACTTTCATTATCTTAACGATGCAAGACAATTAAGTTGTGATAGCGGGAAAACAACTTTTGTTATGTTGAGATCACAAGATAAATAAGTCTCATAACAACAGTCCAGAAAATTTGAACTACCTGCCTGGATTTACATATGAGGAATTAGTCTAAATCAATGTCCTCATAAACTCTGGCCAATGAATATTAATAAAAAAAGGTCTTTCCGAAGTCTTTTAAAAATCTTTTCGGAGTCTTTTAAAAGTCTTTCCGAAGTCTTTTAAAAATCTTTTCGGAGTCTTTTAAAAGTCTTTCCCAAGTCTTTAAAAAGACTTTTCAGAGTCTTTTCAAGGTCCTCTAGCATATGGTTAGCATAAAGAGTAACGTGATCAGACCGCGGGTGATGGGGTGGAAGGGTAGGCAAAGTAAATCATGGGAAATTCTTTTCCGATATCAGAGCCAAGACATCAGAGAAGCATTCGCAAGAATTTAGAAAAGCTGTAATAATCAGATCTCACTGACTTTGTACATGCATTTAACTGTAAATCAGAGTGTTTAGCAGTTTAACTGTCAAATCAAGCAAAAACGTCTGATCATGTATAAATTAATCAGCAGGATGAATCAGAGGAGTATATTACAGTAAACTGAATGAACTGCTGTTTTTTTTCTAATGCCTTTCATTCTAGAAATGTACTATATGGGTATCAGTGATGACCTATTAATACTCCACTCTCCTGCTTTAGTGAAATGAAGCGCAATTTGTGGTCGAAACGAAAGCCAATGTTTGCACAAGCAAACTCTGGACGGCCTTTACTGCCCGGCACAAGTAGAGTCGGAAACGAGCACTTGGAGAAACGCACACATGCGAGCTATTTAGCCATTTTTTCCGAATAAATAACGACATTTTGGTCCCGCTGGTGTTCACACAAACACACACACACACACACACACACACACACAAAACCACATGAGGGACGAACAAAAACTCCTTAACAAAGCTTCTCAGGTTCCCTCAGGCCAAAGAAACATCTGGGGTAGGGGGAGTGGACCCAACCCCCAACACACACACTCACACACACAGAGAGGTAAAGAAGTGTGTGTGTGTGTGTGTATGTGCGTAAAGGTGGTTTGTGTTAAAGTAATGGACGAGAATGTCAAACATTAGTGTCTAAATGCAGGGGAACTCCACTGCTTTTCCAAAATTTCTGCATAACACAGTGTGTGAGATGTAAACAGAGTGATTCAGAGTGGTTTGGTGTGAAATGGTTCAGATGTCTTTACAGTGGTGGTGATAGGAACCAGGGGTCGCCATGACTACAACACAAATATAGACATTTTATTTACTATCCAGAACCACCAGTGAACCTACACGAGTCTTCTGAGTTTATATGGAATGTTGATGATGGAAAATAGTGGCAAATCTGAAATAATAATAAGTTTTCTTTGGGGACTATTTTGCCCTGCATGTTATGTAACCCTCCACCATGAATGGAGTTTAAGGCCAAAACCTTCTCTAAACTATCATAAACAGTGTCTCAGTCATCAGGCAGTGAATTCATAACCATCTACTGTAGTAACTTTCTGTGAGGGAGCTTTTAGAGGTGGACGTCTGGTTCCTATCACCACCACTGTGAACAGTTCTGACTCGGTAAGTTTCTCTAGAATGGAGCGTTTCACACCAAACCACTCTGAGTGACTCTGTTTACATTTTAACTGTTTAATTATGCAGAAATTTTGAAAAATGAGTGAAGTTCCCCTTTCATCTCAGCAAGTAAAAGATCAGCTTTGGCCTCTTTCACACACATTTTTTGGGGGGATGTAAAAGATCATTTTCATCGTGAAGAGCCGACTCAGCCCCCACAACCACCGAATGTGTTTTCATCTTCCTGGAAGGATTTGGGAGATAAATATACACACTCACACACACACACACACACACACACACACACACACACACACACACACACACACATCTGCTAAGTTCGTATCAGAGGCACTAAAGAGTGTGAAGAGTGAGCCGCTCACACACGTGTGGAATTTCTGCTCACTCTGTAAATGAAGCAGCGTCGAACTGACGAGTAAAGGACCTGAGTGAAACCAGTCTGAGGGGCTACCAGCACGCTTTGCCCCATACATACCATTTAAGCATGAAATGGTTCTATCTAGAACCATTTCCTTTACAACAAAACCTTGAAGAACCATCTTTACACACACAAACAAACACAGGGGTAAGTAAGCAAACCATTACTGTAACTATACACTTACAAAACATGGTTCTTCAAAGGTTCTTTAGTAAAAGCAATGGTTCTGTTTGGAACATTGAGCACTATATAGAGCCATTCCATGCTTAAATAGTTCTTTGCATGGTTCTACGGTTCTACATAGCACCAGAAAGGATTCTGCTGTCAAGCTTGTAACAATAGAAGAACTCTTTTTGGAGCTATATGGAACCTTATACAGCATAGTCTCCATCAGTCTGAAGAACCACTTCACCATGCAGAGAACCATTTAAGCATTGGATGTTTCCACATGCACTCTTAAAAAAAGATGGTTCTTCAATGGTTCTTGAGTAAAAGCAATGGATCTGTGTAGAACACTGAGTACTATATAGAGCCATTTTATGCTTCAGTGGTTCTTTGCATGGTTCTATGGTTCTACATAGCACCAAAAAGGATTCTGCTTTCAAGCTTGTAACAATAGAAGAACTCTTTTTGGAGCTATATGGAACCATATACAACATATTCCTAATGAATTTGAAGAACCATTTCACCATGCAGAGAACCGTTTAAGCATGGAATGGTTCTACAAACATTCTTAAAACAATGGTTCTTCAAGGGTTTTTTAGTAAAGATGGCAGTTCTGAACCATAAACACTCAAAGAAACGGTTCTCTGCACAGTGAAATGGTTCTCTAGACTAATGAAGAATGTGCTGTGCGGTGTTGTTTGATATAGTACCAAAAAGGGTTCCTCTGTTGTTACAAGAACACTTTTTGGTGTTATACAGAACCACTTTCAAAAATGTTACATAGAACCATATAAAGCATATTCTCCATCAATCTGAAGAACATTTCACCATGCACTAAAAAAGGAACCAAACATATCATCAGAAAGCGTTCTTGTAACAATAGAAGAACACTTTTTGTTACTATTTAGAACAATACTTTCTGAAATTGTTCTATGTAGCACCATGTAGGTTTTTTCTATTGTTACGAGAACCCTTTTTGATCCTATATAGAACCATCTACAGCACAATCTCCATCAATCATTTCACCATGCAAAGAACCATTCCAGCATGCAAGTGGTTCTTTCAGTGTTCATGGTCTATATAGAACAACAGCCATTACTACAGAACCCTTGAAGAACCATCTTTTTAAAGAATGTATAACTTATGGCTCTACATAGAACCATACTCTTTACTATACAACTCTTGAAGAACCATCTTTTTTAAAGAATGTACAAATTATGGTTCTATATAGAACCATGCTCTTCACTACAGAACCCTTAAAGAACCATCTTTTCAAAGAATGTACAACTTGTGGTTCTATAAAGAACCATACCCTTTACTAAAGAACACTTTATAAACCATCTTTTCTAAGAATGTAGAACTTATGGTTCTATATAGAATCATATTCTATACAGAACTGTACTCTTCACTAAAGAACCCTTGAAGAACCATCTTTTTTAAGAGTGTCGAACTTATGGTTCTATGCAGAACCATACTCTTTACTAAAGAACCTCTGAAGAGCCATCTTTTTAAAGAATGCAGAACTTATGGTTCTAAACAGAACTATACCCTTTACTAAAGAACACTTTATAAACCATTTTTTCCAAGAATGTAGAACTTATGGTTCTATATAGAATCATATTCTATATAGAACTGTACTCTTCACTAAAGAACCCTTGAAGAACCATCTTTTTTAAGAGTGTCGAACTTATGGTTCTATGCAGAACCATACTCTTTACTAAAGAACCTCTGAAGAGCCATCTTTTTAAAGAATGCAGAACTTATGGTTCTAAACAGAACTATACCCTTTACTAAAGAACCGTTAAAGAACCATCTTTTCTGAGGTTGTGTGTGAGTTCACACCGTCGGCTAAAGGGAAAGAAAGGAAGCACAGAGAGTCGGACGAAGGCGAGAGAGAGAAAGAAGTATGCAGAACTCAAGAGAGGAAGAGAAAAGAGAGGGATGAGAAAGAAAGAGAGAGAGAGAGAGACAGAGAAAGAGAGAGAGAGAGAGAGAGAGAGACAGAGAAAGAGAGAGAAGAACTAAAGAGAACAGAAGATGTGCAAAGCGAAAGAGAGGGAGTCAGAGAGGATAGAGGGAGTAAAAAGAAAGAGAGAAAGAAGGAAAGCGCGCATGTTAGTGTGTGTGTGTGTGTGTGTGTGTGTGTGTGTGCGTGTGTGTGTGTGCTGTAGACTCACGCGCTCCTCGGCATGTCCACTCTGGAGCTCCAGCACAAACCTGCAGACCAGCTCTGCGTCCACTTCTCTACACACTCACACTCACACTCACACACATACCCACATACCCCGCCCACTGAACACTGATTGGACGAGAGACAGAGGGAGAGCAAGGGAGAGAAACAGTGAGAGAGAGAGAGAGAGGGCGAGAGGATCTCTATATAAACAGGTGTAGGTTTTAATGATGGAGTTTTTAAACACTGTGTCCACTCACTGTCCACTCTATTAGACACTCCTACCTTGTCAGTCCACCTTGCAGATGTAAAGTCAGAGACGATAGCTCATCTGCTGCTGCACAGTTTGTGTTGGTCATCCTCTAGTCCTTCATCAGTGGTCACAGGACGCTGCCCACAGGACGCTGTCGGCTGGATATTTTTGGTTGGTGGACTATTCTCAGTCCAGCAGCGACACTGAGGTGTTTAAAAACTCCAGCAGCACTGCTGTGTCTGATCCACTCAGACCAGCGCAACACACACTAACACACCACCACCACGTCAGTGTTACTGCAGTGCTGAGAATGACCACCCAAATAGTACCTGCTCTGTGAGGGTCCATGGGGGTCCTGACCGCTGAAGAACAGGGTGCAGAGAAACAGATGGACTACAGTCTGTAACTGTAGAACTACAAAGTAAAACTATGTGGTCAGTGGAGCTGATAAAGTGGACGATGAGTGGAGATATAAGGAGGTTATTTTAATATTGTAGCTGATATATACAAATGTTTCTTGTCAGTGCTCATCTGTGTGTGAACATGCAAGTGTTCAGGGCAGCCCAGAGTGTGTCCAGCTGGCCAGCATTGACCTGTGAAGGTGATTGAATTGGCCCTCATCCAATGAGAGAACAAACATATGTTTATATTAAATATAACTTCATATTTTGTCTTTAATGTTGTATTTTTGAAGTAGTTTGGCTACGAAATACCACATAATTATTAAAAACATATTTCAAAGCTGAGTTTGAAACCTACCTACGTTCTTTGTTCATATGGGAACCCCAGTTTAATGTATACGCAATAAAGTGTATGTGCAAGTAGTGTGTGTGTGTGTGTGTGTGTGTGTGTGTGTGTGTGTGTTTGTGTGTGTGTGTGTGCAAGTGATGACGTATTTGTAAAGAATGTGTATGTACGATTAAGTGTGAGCGCAGCCAAATGTCTTAACAACGGCAAAATCTTTATGTCTTCATCATCACCATCAACACTTACACACACACTCACACAGTGATTCTGTAAACTGTGGGGACATTACATAGACTTCCATTTATTTCGTGGAGAATTACCGAAACCTTAAGTACTGCTAGCCTAACCGTAACCTTTATGGTCATTACACACCAAACGTGATGAAACAAAATGGCTGGAAAATGCGAAAAATTTGTATGCAATTTTTTTCACATCAAAACTATGCAAACCGGATGGAAGGTTTTTTGGAACTTACAAAAAACAAAAACACTCCCACCTGCGAACAAAACATTTTGTCCCGCTCCCACCCGCAACCTAAGTATTTTGTGCTGCTCCCACCCACAAATGAAAACATTTTGACCTGCTTCCACCCACAAGAGAAACATTTTGTCCCACCTTAAAAGGTTTTGTCCCACTCCTAACCACAGAGTTCTGTCAAGGTGAACTGAAATCCAATATCAGACACAGTCTAATCACAAACACATTGTCCTCTACTGAAATAACACAGCAGTCATGGTCATCAGGCTCACTGTGAGTAATTTCACCAAACGCCATTCAATCCCAGTAAACAAAAAGCAGGAAATAAACCACAGAGCGGTTATTTTTGGTGTTTTGCTGGGCAGCCGTAGCCGTCAGACTGAAGGCTCCGCCGTCTCTGTAAGCTACGAAAATTTGCCCAGTTGATTGGCTGCTTCGCAGCTCTTTAGAATGACTTCATTCATTTGAACTGTTTTACTGGTATCATTTTATACTGTTTAAATGTCCATTTTGGAAAAGTAGCATGAAGATCTTCATCACTTCATTCAGAAGCTGCTTTCACACAGGCTATAGTTTAGTTTGTAGTCAAATTTGTAGCTCAGTTTGAGCTGCTTTCGGAGAATCTGATCTTTTTAGCATTCTTGAAAAAGACCTACTTGCTGGAACGCAACTGCTCCATCTGCTTGGTTGTTGTCATGCCAACAGCAGAGGCAACCATGTGAGTTTTTGTTGCTTGTGAAAGTTCACAGAGATCAAACAGGAGTGATTAAATCACACAGTAAATTGCGTTTGCACTTTGAGTCAATTGCGTAACCCTTGCCTTACCCTAACCTCAAAACATGTCTTCACCTCAATTGGGGACCACAATGAGGAGAGGTCCCCACAGCGTGAGTGTGCAAACAGGTCTTGGTCCCCACAACGTGAGTGATATACCTGGAATACACACTCTCACACTCACAGACTATAATGGAGGCGGATTAGCAGTGCAGGTGAACAGCAGACGGAAACAGTGAGTTAGCGCTAATGAGTGAAGACGTAATCCTGGTTTTACACTGATCCTATAACACTTCATTACATACACCATCTACATCTCTCTCTCTCTTGCTCTCTCTCTCTGTGGGGTTTTCTATAATCCTGTCTTTGCGCTGCTCTCATCTCGTCATTATGAGGAAACCTGACGCTGAGGCTCTGATCCCTCTGGACCTCGAACAGAATAAAGACAACTCTGTGTTCTAACAGAGCCACTGCTGTAATAATAGCATCAGAGAGAGAGAGAGAGAGAGAGAGAGGGAGAAAGAGAGAGAGAATGTAAAAGGTAGAAAGATGGTGTTATGTATGGGGAAAAGGAAGAAGGAGAGAGAGAGAGAGAGAGAGAGAGAGAGAAGGTAGAGAGAGGGTTTTATCTATGGGGAGAAAGGAGAGAGAGGGAGTGAGAGAGTGAGAGAGAAGGTAGAGAGAGGGTTTTATGTATGAGGAGAAAGGAGAGAGAGGGGGAGAGAAAGATAGAGAGAGAGAATGGAAAAGGTAGAGAGAGGGTGTTATGTATGGGGAGAACAGAGAGAGAAAGAGAGAGAGAGAGAGAGAGAATGAAGAATGTAGAGAGAGGGTGTTATGTATGGGCAGAAAGGAGAGACAGTGAGAGAGAGAGAGCAGATGTCAAGTTCTAAATGGTTAACTAAAGTAGCTGTTTCATTCTCTCTCTCTCTCTCTCTCTCTCTCTCTCTCTCTCTCTCTCTCTCTGTCCCTCTCACGCTCATACACAGTCAGCAACAGGGAGACAGCGGCTATTTTTAGCTCAGACAGATCAATAATGATGACCGCTAGCAAGCAAATGGACGAGACTTTTCCACCAAGGAATCAATCAGCATCAGAGAAATCGTCCAGTTCGCCTTGGTGACATGAGGCAGTGAACTCTGGGAAATTTTCAGTGTTGCAGTGCATGATTATTTTACAGCCTACTATCAGTGAACGGCTGTGAGATAAATCATCATCCTGCGTGAAGTGCGTTACGGTCACTGACTTGCAACAGTGCAGTCGCCTGAGATAACGGCAGGCTGCTGGCCGCAGAACCAACACGAGGCGAGAAACCTCAACTAACGGGTCTTTTCTGCTGTTTATGACTACTAGTAGTGAGCGATATACCAGTTCTTCCAGTTTACCGGTTGATATTCATCTTAAAGTATCAGTTTTTTCATTACCGTTACACTGATGTGCAAATAAATGCAGATAACATGACATATGAACAGTGCAAAACACGCTGATGCCCTCATCACTCATGAAGTTAGCTGCAACCTGAGGGTCAGTTAGTTCAGTTTATGGTCAAAAAAGTGACATCAGATTGTAAGTTAATGAATTAACCCCTTAAAGGCAAAGTTTTATTACACACTTCTATAACCTAAGAAAAGAAAGAAAAGAAAAGAGAGTGGAAGGGAAAGCCAGTCTCTTGGGGTTAGGTGTTAGCCTTTAGCATAACACGGAGATTAGTCGACTTTCTGTGTGCCCTACCCTATGGCACTCCACACTCAGGCAGCAGCTTTAGGCAACTTCGCGGTCTTGGTGTACAAGCCGAGAGACTCCGCAGCTCCAAAGTTCTAGAACAGTATAGTTCCTAAGAGGCTGAAGTCGGCTCCCTATTTGCCAGCTTCTTTAAGCAGTTACATTCTGGTGCTTGAGGCCTGTTGTCCAGCTTCTTATACACACACACACACACACATATATATATATATATATATATATATATGTGTGTATATATAAGAAGCTGGACAACAGGCCTCAAGCACCAGAATGTAGTGCGGCACCAGAATGTAGTGGAGCTGCGGAGCCTCTCGGCTTGTACCCCAAGACCGCGAAGTTGCCTAAAGCTGCTGCCTTAGTGTGGAGTGCCATAGGGTAGGGCACACAGAAAGTCGACTAATCTCCGTGTTATGCTAAAGGCTAACACCTAACCCCAAGAGACTGGCTTTCCTTTCCACTCTCTTTTCTTTTTATATATATACATATATATATATATATATATATATATGCAGACAAAAGTATTGGGACACCTACACATTTCACCTACAGGAGCTTTTATGAATCACATTCTAAATCCATAGGGATTAACATGGAGTTGGTCCTCCTTTACAGCTGTAACGGCTTCCACTCTTCTGGAAAGCTTTCTACAAGATGTTGAAAGTGTGTCTGTGGAAATTTTTGCCCATTCATCCAGAACAGAAGTGAGGTCAGACACGGAATGTGATGAGGTTTCTGTAGAGCTAGAATACCTGTGAAAAAAACGTCCAGCATACTGGATGTTTGTAATGAATGCAATCGCATTATTGAACATGATGCTAGTGTTAGTTTTTTTTGTGTGGTGGTGTTGCTGGTAATATCACTGCCCTTAATGCAAAAGAGCATCTGTCAAATTCATTAATGTAAATGTAGTAGTATTAAATATCACTGTAAGTCAACTAACTGGATTTCATGGCCTGCTAGCTTCCACTAGCATTGTTAGTCATGTTAGCCTTTCTCCAGCGGTCCTTCTGGGGAACCAGGTCCAGAGCATTTGCCTTTGAAACAAATGAGTAGGACAGTGAGTGATGGAGTGAGAGCTTCTGTTTTTAGTTGGCA